CAGCTACACCAAAGCAAAGTGGCTGTATTTTGAGGATGTAACTGGGATTTTAATCATGCTTGATTGACTTGTGCTGTCCTTTTGCATATGGAGGAGCTCTGTGTTAATAAGCAATACATACTATTCACGGGTGGTGGTGGGGGGGGAGGATTAACTACATGTCTGATGTAATATAAATGTATGCTATTTTCTAGATGCCACAGCTACACCAAAGCAAAGTGGCTGTATTTTGAGGATGTAACTGGGATTTTAATCATGCTTGATTGACTTGTGCTGTCCTTTTGCATATGGAGGAGCTCTGTGTTAATAAGCAATACATACTATTCACGGGTGGTGGTGGGGGGGGAGGATTAACTACATGTCTGATGTAATATAAATGTATGCTATTTTCTAGATGCCACATCCATGGGTACATCAGATGAAACTGTCCAAATGGTCAGATACAGTTTGTATTGAGTGTGCTGTATGAATATATCTCAAATATACTTCCAATTCACAAAAGCAATGGAAAATTTACCACCTACACAGACATTATTAATGTGCACAGTGCACCTTGTTGCTCATCTCTGGGTTACAGTAGTAATATAAAATCCCATCAAGTTATTATTATACAATCTTTCTTGCAAAAATGATACTTTACTGTGGTAATCATTTTCCTCCAGGAGACTCCACTAGAAGCTTTCATCTCCATTATTTGTGATTTATGAAGCAGGTTTTGCACACGCCGGAAAGCTTTCCCATGGCCTGCTATAACACAATTAATAGAAGTTGTAATAAGCAAGGATGGGTGAATTGAACCTCACTAATTATGAACTTACTCAAACAATGTACATTTCAAAGATGACATGAACTACAGTACTGTTGGGTTCCTGCTTTGCCAGGAAAAAGAATGGTGGTTGGGAAGAGGAAGGAGAACAATAGGGTGAAAATGAAGCAGAAGAAGGGGACAGTGTAAAATAAAAACAATTAGGAGTCTGAAAAAAGTAACAGAAATCTGGAGAATGAAACATTATGATTCCCCATAAAAATACACTTTAAACAGGGTACTGTACTTATTTTGGCACAGGTTTGACTTTAACTAGAAAAACACACTGATGTTGTTTCAGTAATCCCTCTGGAACATAATAGTCTTAAAGTAGTGTGAAATGTCTTGCCAAACCCAAACTGCACTTAAAAGTTTAAAGCACAGCCTCGGGCAGTGCTGTGAACGGAAAGTGTGGCCATGGCACAAGTGCCGGGAGAGAGCTGTCTCAGCACACTATGTAAACCTGCTCTGTGAGGGGAGTAGCTAACAGTGCTAATCCTTTACAGAGCTTTAACTTGCTGGGTTTGAGGGTGGGGGTGTTTTTTCACACCTCTGAGCCAGAATGGCACAGTGCTGCAAAGTGCCAGTGTAGATTTAGCCTTAGACTTTGATCCTGTCATGAAATCCACATGAACAGGCTCATGTACAAATACATAGCACCATTGAAAACATTAGGATTCTGCACTGTTACAGAGATCTGCCCAAGTGGTTCTCACAGAAAAGTCAGGGCATAATCTGGAGAATAAAAATCAATTTTACGAGAGTCATTAACCTAAAACACCTAACGATAAGGTCTGTTGTTAGCATGATGGTCTGTAGTCATGAAACTTTTGTAAAAAAGTACAGTTGAATGGAATGCAATAAAAGTTCTGCTGTACATAGTGTTCTGCATTTCTTGTTCTGTTCTGCCACTGGGCAATATTGCCCTTCCTCATTACCGCCTACAAAGAAATGTGTGTGACGAGAGAGAAGTTTCTGAGCAGTAACAGCTTATAACAAACACCAACTTTATTAAAAAGGAAGTATCACTTAAAGTAACCCACTCATTTTAGAAATTCTCAGAGGGGTAGCCAAGTTAATCTTTAATTTTAAAAACAATGAGTAGTCCTGTGGCACCTTGTGATGTATCTAGACTACAGGATTTTGTCGACAAAAGCTGGCATTTGTTGACAGAACTATACCTGCATCTACACTACCACTGCATTCTGTTGACAGTAAGTCAACAGAACACAGCAGTTTTGTCGACACTTTTGCACTATGTATATTGTTTACTTTGCACCAGGTGAATAGGAATGGTTGTGACATAGTATTTTAAATAGAACACAAAGATGTGTGTGTGTGCGTATAAGCATTATATATTTACGTAATTATATGTTATTTAGCTATATAATGCATATATGTCTTTCTTTGAATAAGACCTGTATGCACATATGCACAATTCATTTATTTGTTAGAAATATGTGTCTACTAAGAGAGTATTAATTTAATAATTACAGCTCATTAAAGGGTTAGAAATTGTGCCAAAGCAGTCTTTATCTCAATGAACATACTCATCCTTTTCCACTGAAAAGATAAGCTCTTTTCTGGGTCATAAGTTGTATCTCGTTTCCAAGAACATCGCCTCCTGCATATGACATGATTATGGCTTAGCATCCAAATTCAACATTTTAGAGAGAGAGAGAGGGAGACAGAGAGAGAGTGCAAGAAGGAAGGAAATTTACCAGTAAATGAAGTAGTTACTGTATAAACATTTTTAGCATTTTGATAATCTCGTTTGTTGCGTGCCAAGGCACATTGCTGAATAGGTGTCAAAAGTCCACTCAGATTCAATCTAAAAATAACCACAAGTACATTCTGTGCCAGCTTTTTGTTGATTTAAGCAGTTCAGTGTTTCAAAACCTGAGCTGAATTTTCATTACCTGTAGTTGGTAAAGATAGTAGACTGTCAGTGGAGAAGGCCAGAACTCCAATTTCCTGACCTGCATTGTTTTCATTGCAGGCAGGGTGGAAGGTGCAGCTGCCTGGCTTGTATGCTTAGAAGATGAAGAATGGATTAATAAATATACAGACAATTCAAGGAAAGATAGAGCATTGAAATTAGATATGAGGTGCATAATTAGGTGTGGTGCTTGCCAAAGTATTACCCATTCGGTCTTTCCTATCTTTCAGTGGGAGCAACTAAAAGAAATCCTGAGTCCAGTTTCCTGCAGATCTGCAATGCCCTCATGCTGTCCTGGAGGAATAAAGGGGCCATAGAGTCAGAAGGAAGCTCTCAGAGGACACCCCTTCAGGTCTAGAGCTACAGAGAACAGTATTAGGTCAATCGATCCTTGAATGCCCTCTGGCAGAAGAAGTGTAGTGTGTATTATGGCAGGTAGGGAGTGAGGGATTCTCTGACACTCATTGCTCTCTGCTATTTATTTGCACCATGAGCCCCTTACTCCATTCATCTGAAGAAGTGGGTTGTGCCCATGACAGCTCATGATACCATCTACAAGTCTTGTTAGTCTCTAAGGTGCTGCAGGACAATTCATTATTTTTTAAGTTGTTTTTAAAGTTACAGACCAGCAGGGCTACCCCTCTGAGACTTTCAGTACACATATCCATAAAGCACCTCAGTTCTTGTGGGTTAGCAGAAACTAAATAACTTTTTCAATATAACGCCATGGTCATATCATGTAGTGACCCAATTGACTCAAAATGAGCTTATTACGGCTAAGTACACCATAGATTCATCCAAATATTATCTTCCTTACGTGTATTTATTTCTAAATGGACAAAAGTGGCAAGAATACTCAGAATCTAATGAAAGTCTCTTGATCTCTATTTTGTAGCACCTCTGTACCCAGAATATGTTTCTGAATTGTGTTTTATGTAAAGGCAAAGAAACCAGAAAATTCCCATTGTACTAGATAATTTCTATCTAGCTGAAGTTTTTGTTGTAAAACATGAATATTTCCATAAGGACTATTTCAATGTTATATACCGTAAAATGCCATATTCTATTAACAGATCAGAACATTGTGCTTTAAGGATATCAGTGAGGCAAACTTATTCTCCTCTCTTCCATCATTACAGAGCTTTACCGTTACCAGAATGTACCCAACTCCCATGCACTTAAACATCACGAAGGCCAAGTTTTGGAACATCATGAGAGGGCCAAACGAGAATCAAGAAAAAATTCCCTTCCAGGAAGCTTTGAAGTGATGCTGGCTTACTTTTTTCAGCACAAATATGTCCTTTAGAATAGTTTTTCAATTAAGCCTTTTCTGACAGGGCATGATCCAAAGCCCACAGAAATTAGTAGAAAGACTCTAATTGACATCAATGAGGTTTGGATCAGACCTTTTCAGAATACTTGGAAAGTGACACCAGGACCTAGTCAATGTGAAGTCAGCTGGGAATACACACTCATCCACCTGGAAGATAATCTCTTAATTTATAGTGTGTTAGATATAGAATGAATTTCAAAATAAAGATGGAAAATGTCCATATCCTTAATTTGTTTGCTACTCCCATTTGTTGCATCTTGTCTTAAATTAGATTGGGTAGCAACTTGTTTCATTCTAAGTTTGCAGGGCATCTTGTACATTGGTGCCTTCAGTCTTGATTCAGTCTGAGACAGTGCCTGCAGTCATTTTGCCCATTATTATGCTAAAAACAAAAGGTCATTTTAAATTATTTTATGGAGACAGATGGAGATCTCTGTTAAATTGTGTTCATTATAGTGGTCATACAGCCCAATGTTGGTCATGTCATTAAGGCACTGGATTCGAAGTCAGGACTTCTGTGTTCTATCCATAGATCAGGGACAAACTTCTTGTCTGGCCTTCAGCAAATCTCTGGGTGCCTCAATTCCCCATACAGAGAAATTGAATTATGATAATATTTATTTCCTCCTACCCTTTGCCTACTTTGTCTGTTTAGACTGTAAGCTCTTCAGGGCAGCAACTGTCTCTGTTTTATAAACAGCATCTTGCACAATGAGGGTCCAATTTCATCTGGATTCTTTAGATGTTACTGTAGAACAGCTCTGACAGGCATTGTAGGACTGAGAAAGGAAGACACACTGAGGGTACATCTACACAGCAACATTATTTCAAAATAACTTAGTCCATGTCTACACAGCAGGCAGTTATTTCGAAATAGTGTTGAAATACTGTCAAGCTGGAGGACTTCTTACTGCGGCTCCTGTAACCCTCATTGTATGAGGAGTAAGGGAAGTTGGAGGAAGAGTGCTCTATTTCGAAATAAGTGCTGTGTCAACGTTCCCCATTTCAAAATGAGCTATTTTGAAATAAGCTACGCAATTGACATAGCTCAATTTGCATAGCTTATTTCGAGGTAAGCCCAGCTCTGTAGGATAGGGGGTGTCTACACAGCAATTCTGTTTCTTCAAAATAATTTTGAAATAACAGACGGCTTATTAAAAAAACTGTAAACCTCATTCCATGAGGAATAATGCTTATTCCAAAATAACTATTTCAGAATACCAGAAGTATGGACAATCTACTGCTGATATTTCGAGATAGTTCCTCCCTAGGGCCATTCAAAGTAATTACTCCCCAGTGCCTTCTGGGGCTCTAATTCGAGGTAGCTAGTCCACATTAAGGAAGCTTTCCTCGGATTAATTTTGAGGCTTCCCTGTAGCATAGATGTGCTATTTTGAAATAAGTTATTTCAGAGTATTCCTTCCAGAATAGCTTATTTCGAAATAAGCATGCCATGTAGACACACCCTAAGTAAGAGAAAAAAGGAGTGTGTATACACAGTTTGGATTGGTGAAAGAGGGCACTTTTTACAGTAACCAAGACAGAGAGCTACATTAAAGTTTTTGTTTTCCACCTTCCCTGAGGAGTTCTGAGTCTAAAATGTGTAAAGTTATTATACCAACTAGAAAAAATGCAAATAATTACACAGTGAACCAAATATAAATCATAGTCATTCCATCTGATATTTTGAAAGTCAAATCTCTCAATAGGGAGTTGGGATGTTGGATTCTGACTTGTATGTGTGCAGTTTTCTTTAAAAACTGTACACTTGAAGAAGAAACATTAAAATATTGATGACTGAATCATCATGGGATTTCAATGTGTATCTATGTTTCAGGGGGCTAGGAAAAGTAGAAGAGTTCTTATGTTTTACTCGGGCCTTGACTGGAAGAGTTTACAAAAAGGTTAGCAAGGAAGAGGATTTATTTATATTAAAAATGTATCTAAATAAGCAACAGCAAAGCAAAAATGCCACCTGGAGATTGTTAGTTCATGTGGCCCCCTAGTATAGCAGGACATTAACTACATTTTTTTTAACATTCTGGACATGTCTACACTAGGAAATTATTTCAAAATAACTTATTTTGAAATAAGAATTCCTGAAATAACTATTTCAAAATAAGCTTGTTCTCCAAGGAAAGCAGGAGTTATTACTCTGAAATAACCAGCCCCTTATTTCTAAATAACAGGCATGGTAGTGTGGATGCTCTGCTTATTATTTCAAAATAAGGGGAGTTATTTTTGTAAAAAACCTTCCCTATTGTAGACCATGGCTCCTAATTTGAGGTCACAATGTTCTCTTCCCCTCCTTTCCCCTCCACGTCTGTCTCTCATAAACACTGCTTTGTTCTGCCAAATCTGCATTGGCCTTCCTTTCTTGGAAAGCTCTGTTCCTCTGCTATGATGTTTGCTCCTTTCTTTATTCAGAGAATTGAGAAGCAAGTAATTAGTGAAAAGGAAGACAGATCTTGTCAGCTGACATTAACTTCAGAATGTTCAACAGTCTCCTGATCAGGACAGAAACCATCATGTACTGTTTACTGGGGGGGGAGGGGAGCCCAACAGGATGACTTTCAAGTTCCCTTCTCCACCCTCTCTCTAAATAACACTAATACTTGTAAGAGTATATAAAATCTGTCTCATTATCAGACTCTCCTTTTCCATTACCTTCAGAATGCTTGTTTACAATTCTGGATAAAAGGGAAAAGGGCTTTAGGGGGTTCAGAGACTACTCAAAGAAATGTAACTATCCCTGAAAGGGATAACAACTTCCTAAGGGGATCACAGACTCAAACTTTGAAACAGAAGGTTAATTATTCCTTCCAATATTTCTATCATAATTAAATATGATAATTCTGGATATTCTTGATATCCACGCACATGCCCAACCTCTTTTGAAACTTGCTAAGTTCTTGGCCTCAGTGACTTCCTATAGCAATGAGTTCCACAAATAAGGTACATTGTATGAAAAAAAATCCTTTTATCACTCCTGCATGGGTGCAGTAGGCACTTCCTTTTGCAGCCAGTAAGCTTCATTGGCAGGTGCTGGATGTGGGATGAGTGCCAGGGATAGGTCACCTCACATACTCTGCCCCCATCCACTCTGGATAAGAACAAGAGTCCAGGTGAGCATTCCTCCCAGAAGGCAAATTAAGCTTGTAATTGCAAATGTTTGCATGTGTGCACCTTCGGGGGGGTCTGTGATCAGTAGATGTTCTTTTGCTGATTCAGACTATACTGACAAGGTCTTGGCATAGGCAGCAAAAAGCCAAATAAGAGAACTAAAGAAAGAGCCCACAATCAGTTACATAACACAACTCAAACCAATCTTGTCTGTAAAAGCCTCTCCTAAGATATCAGCTGTCTACAGGCAAAGTTCAGCAGATAATATTTCATACAGCCTGCAGAAAGAATTCCCCCCACCCCCTGATTGCTTATCAGCTAGTTCTCCAAGTGAACCTTACTGCTAGTGAAAGGTGCCAAATCAACAGCTGTGGGGACTGAAGTCCTTTCTCCGCTAAACAGGTACATAGTATGAGCCAGTTCACTTCTTCATGACACAGCTTAGTCCACAGGGAGCATTTCCAGCAGGAGGGAGTTCACTCTCTCTCGAGCTGACAGCTCTATGCCCTCATTGCCATAATATCTGAATGACTCACAATCATTAGTGGAATTTATCTTTACAGCAGTCCTCTGGGACAGGGAAGTGATACCTTCATTTTATAGACAAGTGATTGAGGCACAGAATCAGGCCCAACGAAGGCTGGGGGTGAGGGGGTACAAAAAGGGCAACTGCCCTGGGGCCCAGCAATGCAAAATGACTTGGAACTCATGGCCACTGCTACTGCAGCAAGGGCCAGAGCCCAGTCTCTCTAAATCACTTCTGGACCACCACACTCAGTGTGTTCCTGGCAGCACGGAGGGCTGGTCACTGGGGGAGGCACAGGTGGCAGTGA